AATATATATATATATATATTTTAAAACTAATAAAAATGACAAAAACGCAACAAAATTACTAAAACTTTTACTAAAATTAAAATGAAAAAAGAAATATAAAAACAAAAAATCATTCAAAATATGAATAAAAGCTATAATAGTATCTTAATGATATTAAAAAAAACATTGTTCCAAACCTATACACTGTAAACAACTATTTTTTGGAGTTGTAAAAAAGTAAAAAAAGTAAAAGTAAAAGTAAAGTAAAAAAGACTATTGAAGTGCGTTTTACAAGAAAATTTAAAATATCATGTTTCATTCAATGTGTCTCTTGCAGTTTCCTTGTAATTCTTTGTGAAATTTACTAGCAATTTCTGAGTGAAAATAATTTCCTCACCAAATTTTTGACTTACTTTCTTCTGCGGATCACGAGCCGCTGTTTTTATTTCATGAAAGTGGATGATAATAGTATGTTAATGATATTAAAAAAAACATTGTTCCAAACCTATACACTGTAAACAACTATTTTTTGGAGTTGTAAAAAAGTCAGACTATTGAAGTACGTTTGACAAGAAAATTTAAAATATCATGTTTCATTCAATGTGTCTCTTGCAGTTTCCTTGTAATTCTTTGTGAAATTTACTAGCAATTTCTGAGTGAAAATAATTTCCTCACCAAATTTTTGACTTACTTTCTTCTGCGGATCACGAGCCGCTGTTTTTATTTCATGCAACAAAGTGGATGGTGATTCATGTTAATAAAAGCTCCAAAAAACAGACTCAAGTCTGACTCGGTGTGTTCAAGCTCTCAATGCCATAAGCATTAATCAGAATAAATGCAGCATCTCTCTGACGTCACTGTATGTCTGTGTGATTGTTGCAGTATTCTCTCTGTAATGAGCCCTTGATCGAGCTCTCAAACCCCGGTGCCAGCGGCTCCATTTTCTACCTCACTCGAGACGATGAATTCATCCTGAAGACCGTCATGCACAAAGAGGCTGAGTTCCTGCAGAAGCTGCTTCCAGGATACTACATGGTGAGCCAGCAGCTCGTCCTCAGTCCAGTTTCAGCTTCATCATACATACCTACATAGTATGCATGATTACAGTATAAAAGTGTTGCTGGATGATTTAATATTTCTGGTGGATTTTCAAAGTATGCATCTTAACATTAGCATTTTACACCAACCCTTTTCAAATGTTTAAATTGCTTAAAAATGAATGTGATGTGAAACTGTTGCAGCATTAGTTGTAAGTAAGAGAAGTAATGAAGTTTAAGATCACGCATTTGTGTATTAAAACACAAACAGAGTCTGTGGTCAAGACACTAATTTTGTTTATCCAAAAAATAAATAAATACATAAAATAAATAAATAAATAAATCACATTTGCCATGGTTACAATTTTTAAACAATGTTATTGTTGTATAATATACTATTATAGTTTTTTATTTTATTTATATATTTTATTTTTATAAAATATATTTTATTTTTATTTAATTTAATTTAGGTTAATGTTTTAGTAATTTAGTTTTTAGTTTATTTAATATGTCCGTATAGTTTTTGAGTTTGAGTTTTTAGTTTATTTATCTTAGTTATTTATTTAGCTAAAATAAAATTTCATTTTTTTTATTTCATTTTTAATTTCATTTTAATTTCATTTTAATTTCAAGCAATGAAAAATGTTTTTTAAAGGCTCTAGGTTTTCAAATGCATCATTTTGCATCATTCGACGAATGAAAATATAAAAAATATAGATCAACAAATAATAAATACTAAAATATATAAATTATATAAAAATGGAAATTATAAAACAATCAATTAAACTTAAAATTAATGGTGTTAATCCATATATATTTCAAGTCATTTAGAGAGTTTGAGTTTTAAGGCATTCCTCTTTATCAGTTGCTTTAAGGATTGAAATACATTTTTCAAATAATTGTTAAATGCTACAAATTAGTGCTTAATTTGTGTTCAAAATGAGCCTTAAAAATGCTAAATAATAAGTATAATTAGGGATAGTAAAGATTAACTTCCAAAAGCACAAACATAAAATAGCATTTGAAAAAAAAAAACTGTATACAGTATATATTCACAGTTTGTGAAAATAAACATAATAAATATAATTTAAAAAAAAATGTTAAATACTATTTTATTTTATAGTTATTTTATTTTATTTTTGTAATGTTTTTTTTTCAAGTCATAATTTTGTTATAATATATGACCCTGGAGCACAGAAGCAGTGTTAAGTCGCTGGGGTATATTTGTAGCAATACCCAAATTTACACTGTATGGGTCAAAATTATAGATTTTTCTTTTATGCCAAAAATCATTAGGATATTAAGTAAAGATCATGTTCCATGAAGATATTTAGTAAATTTCCTACCGTAAATATATCAAAACATAATTTTTGATTAGTAATATGCATTGCTAAGAACTTCATTTGAACAACTTTAAAGATGATTTTCTCAATATTTAGATTTTTTTGCTCCCTCAGATTCCAGATTTTCAAATAGTTGTATCTCGGCCAAATATTGTCCTATCCTAACAAACCATACATCAATGGAAAGCTTATTTATTTTCAGCTTTCAGATGATGCATAAATCTCAATTTCAAAAAATTGACACTTAAGACTGGTTTTGTTGTCCTGGGTCACATATAATACTGTTTTGATCTGTTTGCTATTTGAAATGGTGGTGACTATTTATTATTTTTCATAGTGTGATATTGATGAGTTCTATTAAAACCAGTTTATGGTCAGTTTGACCTGCAATCATAATAATCATTAGTTATAACCAGTGTTGGGGGTAACGTATTACAAGTAACGCGAGTTACGTAATCAGATTACTTTTTTCAAGTAACTAGTAAAGTAACGCATTACTTTTTTAATTTACAAGAAAATATCTGAGTTACTTTTTCAAATAAGTAACGCAAGTTACTTTTTTTTTTTCCAATTTATTGACTGACAGCTCTCCTGTCCCCATGTTGAGAGAAATCAGAAGATGTTACTGTAGCTCTAAAATAAATATGAATATAATATTACTATTGTAATATTTCACTATAAAATAAAAAAAAATTGTATTTAAGAAAAATAATACAATAACAATACTATTTATTTATTTATTTATTTATCACTTCTGATTTAAAATGTGATTTGAAACAAAAATCCCAAGTTTTTTTTTTTGCTTGTATGTAGGGCTACAATATTTGGCCAAAATGTTGTGATTATTTAGCCATATGAATGTAAAATAATAATATATATATATTTTTTTTAATTATTATTATTATTATTGATATGAAACTGGCTAAATAAAATCAAAATAAGAAATATTAGTTTGAATTTGTTGTTGTTGTTGTTATTATTATATTTATTTAAAAAATTGTTATTGTCATTTAAAATATGTAAAAAAGGTTTGCATGTTACATAATTTGGCCAAAATGTTCTGATTATATAACTATATGACTATGAAATAATAATAATAATAATTATTATTATTATTATTAGTATTATTGCTACTAAATTAATGTATAGAATTATTCATTATTATTGCTGATAAATAAAAATATACTTTTTAAATAATAAAAACGAAATAAAAAATATTACTATTTTAATATTTCACTGTAAAATTAGAAAAAAAAGCAAGTACTTAAGAAAAATAAAACAATAATTTTAATAGATTCTATTTGGATTGATCATGCAGCCCTCGTTGGGTTAGTGCAGATATAAACCGCAGGGTTGCTGTGTGTGTGCAGGTGTTGGAGAGCTTTAAGATCATGGACTACAGTCTGCTGCTGGGGGTTCATAATCTGGATCAGGCGGAGCGCGAGCAGCAGATGGAGGGATCTCAGAGCAGCAGCGATGAGAAGAGACCGGCCGCGCAGCGAGCGCTTTACTCTACCGCCATGGAGTCCATTCAGGGAGGAGCTGCGTGCGGAGGCTCCATAGACACCGAAGACACGTGTGTGTCTCTGATTTAACATCACGAGTTTGATTCGATGCAGCAGCACACGCTGATTCTCTGCTCTCTCTGCAGGATGGGAGGCATTCCTGCTGTCAACGGCAAAGGAGAGAGACTCCTGCTCTTCATCGGCATCATAGACATCCTGCAGTCCTACAGGTCACACACACTTATGATTATCAAATCTGAATTTATTTATTAGGATTAACCCCTTGAGGTTTAACATCTCGTTTTTCGAGCGGGTCCCAAAATACAACGCGTCACATTCATAACATCAATCAAATCAGTTCATTCATAAAGCACATGTCAGATCCGCTCTCTTCTCGAAATCCCTCCACCCAAAAAATACTTCATTTTAATGCCCACATTTATTTATTTGTTTGTTTATTTTCAGGAGTGACTTAAGTGATTGTCTTACGAATATCAAACCTGCTTACATTTCAAGTAAAATTTTAATTTTAGGTATATTAATCTTATATATTGTATCATATTTAGGAGCTTGATGTACGATTTAGATTTAACAGTTATATATATATATATATATATATATTGATATCTAAAAAATATTATTTAAAATAATTATTAAACTATAACAGTTGTTTGTTTATTTATTGATTTGTTTGTTAGCAAACAAACAAAGCAATGGGGCAATATTTGGTTTAAGCTAAGTAGGTCTTTTTAAATTGTGTTTTATGGTGCAGGTGCTCTATATTGTTGTTAAAATAATTATTAAATATAAATGTATAAATAACTGCCTACCTTTTAAGACTCTGAATTATTTACTTTATTTATTTTTATTTGATTTATGTATTTATTTATTGGCAAAGTTGTGATATTTTGAAATGTGTTTTATATTACAAACGGCGCTTGTGCCTTGAAGTTATTCAAAATTATTTAATTTTAAATAATTATTGAGCTGTACATTCATAATGTTTTTGAAACTGTCAAGCTTTTAAAAGACTCTTAATTAGGTAAATCTGACCATTTATTTATATATTGGTTAAGTGGCAAAAATGTGACAAAATTTGTTTTTAAGCTAAATTGGCATTTTTATAATTGTTTTATATTGCATATTCACATTTCTATTGCATATAAGACTGAATTAAGGAAATTAATTGTTATGAAATTGAAATTGAAATTAATTTAATTATGTATGTATGTATTTGTTTATTTATTTTGTTTAATTTTATTTTATTTAGTTCTAAATTAAACAGATAAAAAAATTTATATTACTATTGTAAAATGTCACTGCAAAATAGAAACATTTGAGTATTTAAAAAAATAAAACAAATGTTTTTTATTATTTTTTTTTAATGTATTCATTTAATAGTGATTGTGAATTTTATTTTATTTTATTTTATTTTATTTTATTTTATTTTCTGCTGCTCGTTCGTTCTCCATTAGTGTGTGTTTGTGCTCTTTTGCTGAGCCTCGTTAGTGAATCTCATACAGAGCGGCTGTGATGAGCCGCATGGCTTTATAATCTTCACTAGCATTTGGGGTTGTTTTATGCTCTTATGTAACATTTTTTAGAAGACTGCATTAAGTCACAAAAATAAATCCAAAGCTCTCCATCAGGACACTCAGTGCTTCTGTGAGTCTGTGAAGTGAAGCTGATGTTGGTGTTTTTCTGCAGACTCATAAAGAAGCTGGAACACACATGGAAGGCTCTGGTGCATGACGGGGTGAGAAACTCATGCAAATACATCTTCATCTTCACCATCATAATGCGTCATAATCCTCCTGCCTGCCATCTCAGAGCTTTAATACACATCACTTCTGATACTGTACATCTACTGTATAAATAGACCCTCGGTCCCCAGTAAAAATACTTCATTTTAATTCCGTACGAATCTCAAACCTGCTTAAGAGTTAGATTTAACATTTAAATTAAATTTTACATTTAGGTGCGTATTTATCTTATGTCTTAAAAGGTTATATTATATCATATTTAAGAGCTATATGTAAGATTATTGGAAGTAAATGGAAATTATTTATAGTTAGATATATTAGATTGGCAATATTTGTTTTAACATAATTGGGCATAACATTATTTGAAAATTGTGTTTTGTGGTGCAGGTGCCCTGTAGTTGATATTGTTGTTAAAATAATTATTAAACTATAAATAAAATGTGTAATTTATTCATATAAAAAAACTGTCTACCTTTTAAGATTCTTAATTAAGTAAACCAGGCCATTTATTTTATTTTATTTTATTTTTTATTGCCAAAATCATGGCAGTATTTTGAATTGTGTTTTATATCACATATGTTGCTTGTGCCTTATAGCTGTTATTAAATTTTTTTTATTTAATGTAAAATAATTAAGCTATATATTCATTAAAAAAATAATAAAACTGTCCTTTTAAGACTCTTAATTAGATAAATCAGGACATTTATTTATTTATTGACTTAGTTGCAATGTTTTATTTTTTAATGTTTTAGTTTTTATTTTATTTTTATTATATTTTTTATTTTATTTTGGGCCCTTTAAAAATTGTGTTATATATTGCATATGATGCAGGTGCTCTGTAGTTTTGGGGTGAAATATTGTCATTAATACACATCTCTGATACTTGCACATCTGTATAAACACAAACTGTGAGGCGCAGACAGTTGACTGAATTTGTGAAAGGTGAATACTGAATGTGGTCCTGATCATTTCACACTGTGGCCTCCTTTATTAATGCATGAGGTGTGTGTGTGTGTGTGTGTGTGTGTGAGAGTGTGAGTGTGAGT